TTGCTATCACAATTTGTGACGGGCTTCAATGGGTATGGGACATCGAGCATTGTTTGTTTGGGTACTGCTTCTGCTGGCTCTGATCTTTCTTGTTGTCTATTTGGTCAGTTTCACCTACTTTTTTGCATCCTTTTAGCGCAAAAGTCAGGATTTCTTTTCTCCTTTGGTTTAATGTATTACTTGTCGGCAGATATGGCGCAACGGGGCAGCACTGTTGTTGTGCTGTGGTTTGAATTTTCGACTCTGCCAGTGTAACAACCAATCCCTCTACGATTTGTTTCGATGGTAAATTGGCACTGGCATATGCCAGAGAATCAAATCCAATATCAGTTTGCTTCTAAGCAATCTTCAAAAGTGGGAGCCATTAATAACTTTGCCAGCGCGTGGTTACTGTTGGCATTTGCCACCACTCGAGCTACCTCGCGAGTGTCTTCGCTTCTCAGTGAGAGTAAAATATGGAGGGGGCTTCGATTTTTGATTTTGATTTATTACTTAATTATTTCGCTATTTCATGTATTTCCTCTCAGTCGTTAGCGAATTTTTGTAATACACTTACAAGACCTTATCACACTCTGCTATTTTTGCTGCATTTTATTTTGTTCAGTTTTTCTCCTGCAGCTTCTTTAGTCCTAGTTTTGAAGTTTTTTTACATGAGAAATAGATCTTCTTACAAAATGACAAAAATATGGCCAATTAATTCGCATGGAATACTTTGAGTGTTAGTGTTTTACAGTTCACATGTTCGCATTCTCTCTGAATGGTTCTGTCTTTTTCGCGGCACTTCAAGTTTTGCCTTTGATGGCACACACTAGTAGCACTGATAGCATTACATTGTTTTGGCGCTCTCTTACTGCAAATAGAAAAGCTTCGCTTTTTTTTACTGCATTGTAAGGACGTTACAAGGACGCATCGAACTGCAGCATCTTTTAGGCTTATCTACTTTCTACTTTTGCCTGCTTCCATTTACTGATTCCTATCAGCATAATGCATCAATCCAGTCTTCTTGAAGTCATCTCGAGTAAACATTTTACACGGACAGCACTGTCGCGAACAGAGCCCTTTCTCGAAAATTATTCTGGACTGGGAGAGAATCGAACCACTCCTCTTCATGTCCGGACAAAATGTGTTACCAGTACACTCATTCCACCACCAATCGCTGTGCTCCGGGTTCAGCTTGGCAGCATATATACTGTGTATCTGCCTTTCAAGCAAGACACCTCTTCTTTTTTCCCTTGTAGCAGCCTCTTGGTCGTCTTTTCGGTGATTTTCCGCGGCAAGTACACGGTGAATGGCGATATCCACTGGATCAGTGCAAAACAAAAAGAGCATTTGGAAGCGCTGACTGACACGGGCTTTTCAGAGACCTTCATGGAGAATCTTTTAGATTTTTTACCAGAAATTCGAGCGCTAAGTTAACAAGACCTTGCCGCGTCTGCACTGCACAGTTTTGTCGACATAGAAAGTTTTTTAAGCGAAGTGATTGGCTGTTTTTTGAGCGTGAAGTAAACGATTTGACTTAATTTGGTATATCTTTCCTATGGGAAGTTTGAGAAGTTCAAATATCGCTGCTATGCCACTGTGATGACACAGATCGTGCGTTTTTAGGATGGTGGTCTCGATGGAGAACCGTCGCTATTTTTTGCCGTTTTGTTATTCTTCGATGCGATTTTTTTATCTTTGATAGCTATCAGAGTAGTGCGTCACTATCAGATATGCGGTGTTGGCCGGCGCCGGTACGATATGAATGCGCCTTATCCGATCCGAGCACTCGTTTATCCGCTGGAGAAACGAGCATCTGCCGTTGCATTTGGTAAGTTATTATGCGTTTTTTGCATCTATGCAATGCAAAAACGCATATTGTCGAGGGGTTGTGTGTGTGTGTGTGTGTGTATGTGCGTGTGTGTGTGTCTGTGTGTGCGTCTGTAACGAGTTTTCATCTCGAGATCCACAAAAGCTACAAG